GAAACTTACCCCGATCGCACCAAATTCGTTTTACCCAGCCAATTCTAGCCTGACTTGATGGGTCACACTTGGGGTCTAGCATGAAAATTAGTCATCCGATGCTCGCATGTTTCGGGCGGAAAGTCTTCTGGCTGCCAAACCAAGCCTCCGAGATATCAAGTGTGACCCATCAAACCACACTGGAATTGCTCAAGGAATCCAAATCTTCGCCCAAAAAGGTGCCGGGTGGCCCAAATAAACACGCCGATTATGCGCAAAATGTGACGAAGCCCTTGATTGACTGGATGAATAATTCAGTGGCGGCGCTTGTAGGATGCGGGCGGAAATGTGGGGCCCCCCATTGGAAATTCACACACTTTTCTAGGCCCGTTCCACGTACGTTTATTGTGTGTAAATGTTTATTGGCCGTAAAAGTCGCATTTGCAGGTAATTATGTCGGCTCGGTAAATAAGCTGTTATCATAGGCGGCCGGGTGACAATGCGCGCCCGAATGCCGTTCGTGGGAATTTTTCTTCGCTCCGCTCTCGATTGTTTTATCAGGCAACTGTTGTTACTGATTGAGGCAATGCCGCCTGAGACTTTTGATGTCTCTGTCGTAAAACTCGATTGTTCGTTTATTGGGAAGTTTTCCTATTAGTTTCTCGCCGGGCCCCACCAGAAACTTTCCCCCCAACGAAATGAGCAGAAGAACAAAGTCGCATTTATCATCTGCTGGACGGACGTTCTCCTTTCCCCTTTCTCCTCATGCCCATGCGGTGCGCCACTGGCTCACTATGGGAGAAAAGGTGCGATTATGCGAAGTTTATGATAATGCGCCACTGGGCGTCCTCGACTACCGGCCACTTTACGCAGATTTGCCCGACTTTGACCGGATTCTTCGTCTAATCAAGTTGTCCCTCTTAATGATGGTCGATTTTTCAAAGCCGCAGCTTCTGCACGGTTGTTTGCTTGCTTTGGAGTAGAAACTCAGAAAGAAATCAGGCCAGAGTTTCCAACATTAAGGAACTTTCAGACCCATAAGGGATGTGAGTTTTGCTATTTATATTTTTTCTCCCTTTGCAATTCCTGCAATTGAGACTTAATCTGTCCAAGTATACCCCCATAACTTCTGTGTGCGAAAATGGTGAAATTCGGGGGGGATTTGGGGAAGTTCTAAAGAGTTGAAGCGTTGCTTCCCATAAGAGCCTGTAGTGAGTTTTTCGCTTTTCACCCCCAGATTGGGGGGGAATTTTTTGGAAACGCTTCTGGGCTGGTTTGGGGATGCGTTTTAACCCAGTGAACAGTTAAGCAAAAAATTTTTGGAATGTGCCAAAAAAAGAGTTTTGCTCCAAAATTTTTGAAGGTCTATCAAGGAAAAACGGGCGATTTTGACATTTATTTTTTTTGCTCAAAAACAAAGCCTCCTAGCGAAAAATGCTGCTCCTGATAAAACATGCGGACAGTCCCGGGGTATCTAAGAAAAATTGCTGCAGCCGCTTTTGAAGAAGAGTTTTCGCATAAATCCCAAAAACGTTGGTTGCAAAAAAACCTACATATCTCCAAAACTAAAAACGCTGGCCCACATCAGAAAACATCACTAGACAGAAGGGACGAAACTGCACAAGAACGCTGGTATTCACTTTTGCTCTCAAGTGCTTTGTAAGCGAGCTATTGAGAATCTTCGGGTTTTTGCACGATTTTCGAGGGCAAATTTCCCAAAACTGGCAATTTTTTTCAGGTGGAATTTTCAGCAGATTTTCACTTGGCGGATCATGAACGGTCTGCAAAAGTCATTAATGGTCATAAATCCCTACAAAACACTCGCTGTCAGGCTTTTTTAGGTCTCAAACTCATTTTGCATGGGACTTAATGGGGACCTTTCCCCCCTGGATCCCCAAGGTTGCCAATTGTTCTTAAATCTGCTCGCCTGGGGTGGGAAAATGCCGGGTGTGAAAATGAGCCGATTTGTGGCGAATTTGGGGAAGTTATGAAAGTTTGAAGTTCCGGCCCCCATAAGAGCCTGTGGTGACTTTTTCGTTTTTCCCCCCTATCACCGTTTGGAGTTGGTTCCCGGAAAAACCCAGTCAGTTTGGCATCCCTTTTGTCCATGTGCAGCAGATCGCAGTGGAAAAATTTCCAAAAAACCAATTTGGATTTTTGCTGCCGAAATTCATCTGGTTGGGCCTGGAGATTTTGTTCGATCTTCACATTTTATTTTTTTCCTCCTAAACGAGGCTTCCGAACAAAGAATGTTGCTCTTCACAAAAAGTCCGGGCTGTTTCACTCCACCCAAGGGTGATTTTTCCCAAAGCTCTCCGAAGAAGGGTTTGGGCGAAACTGCCAAAAACGCTAACGCTTTTCGCTAACGTGCACCATAAGCGAGTTACTGAACATTTCGTTAAAATCCTGCGGATTTCGGGGGAAACTTTGGGAAATTCAGCTCATTTTTAACAGCTGGAATTTGGAGCAAACTCGGGAACCAGGCAACTCACTCGAAATAACAGGCAAAGTTTCGAGAATTAGGCCATACTCAGGCAATTTTCCTTAGTTTCAAGACATTTAAATTTTTTCCCCCCCAAACGGGGCCTCCCATCAAAAACCTGTTCTCGAAAAAACGTTCGAATCCCCCCCAGGCAGCCAGGGGTGACTTTTGCAAAACCCCCCAGTGACCGGTTTTCGAGCCATGGCAGTCCCACACGAAAAAAATCCCATATCCCCCAAACGAAACCTTGTACGGAAAATCTGAGCACACCGCTGGATAGAGCGAGTGAAAACGCATAAAAAACCTTCCATTCACTTTTTGCCCCAAAGCCCCTATAAGCGAGCTACAGGGCTTTCTCATTTTCCACTCCCCTAAAGGAGAGTAGAAAATGACATTTCGCCCATTTTCCCAGCGAGCAATCGCAATCAGCACGTCAAAACACTGCTTGACAGCGCGCGAAACCAGGCGACTCCATCGAAAACCCAGGCGACGTTTCGCCTACCATCATCAGCAGCCATCATCAGCCAGCTGCGGGGAATTTGGGGTGGGAAATGAAAGCAGAGCCTGGATTTTTTCAACATATATTTATTATTTGAGCTTTTTGCGATCAAATACAACAAATCAATCAAATAATAAGGTTAGAATTCGGAATTCTCAACGTAAATGGAGCGTCTGCCGAGATTACAGCTAATGCGTATACATCGTTTTGTATTATTCAGTGTAGGTAGTAGTATAATAATTGATAAATAGTTTTTTTTTCAATTTTCCTTAAAACCATTGGCGTCTCAATTGGAAGAAAGAGATAGTAATATTATAATTATTATTATTATTATTATTATTATTATTATTATTAGTTACGACATACGTATACTAAGTAAGGTCTAGGAGGCGTCGGGCCCACTGACGTTTACCCCTCCTCTTCCATCCTGCTCCCGTCTTATCAACTAAACAATATTCTTCTTCTTCTCTAACGCTAAGACTTTGTAATACTTGCCCGCGTGGGGGCGTTCCCAAAATACTGACTAAAATACCATATAAATATCCATATGTATACTATGTACAGGGTGACTCGAAAAATCCGCATAACAATCAAAATTCATAATAATAATCAATCACGTGATGGGGGAGAGAGATAAAGAGAGAGAGAGAGAGAGAGAGAGGTGTGGGCGGGGCGGCGATTCGCCCAAATTTACAACCTTCACGACTCTAAAAACTCTAAGCCTACTAACTTTGTTGCCGGTTTTTTTTTTGTTTCAACGACGATATGATAACATCACAAAGGGCCGCCCATGGAGGGCGGCACACAAGCTTTCGAGACTGAGTTGAGTGGGGGCGGGGTGGCGCTTGCGAACAATGCGAAAGTTTGACAGCGCTGCAGCTTGCCTACAAGCCACGCCCACCAGTCAACCGGAATGTAGGTCTAACCTATTTACACGTATTTGCTAGACAATTGTTTGGCCAGTTCGGTGTACTTGAGAAACTTGGAGTGCGGGCTCTCCTCGAAGCCGCCGGCAGGCGGCGGGCTTTTGGGAGCGGGGGG